GCCGTGGTTCTAAGGGCACTTATGTAATAGGGAGATCTGATCTTCTTGCCAAGGGCAGGGACGAATCCAAGGGAAAGTGATGCTTTAGCTGAGACTGGAAGGATACTTTGAATTTACCCAGAGCGATGGATCCCTGGGGCAGGTGAGAGCATGTATGAAGACTCTGACAAAAGGAAGCAGGTACAGACGAGGATGTGAAAGAAGTTTCTTGTGGCTGTGGTGGAGAGAACCAGGGGAACTTGGAGTGAGAGCAGAATGGAGAGCCTACCCAGGATCCCCTACGCCTTTCTTCCTTCCCAACAGAATCCCCATTTTGTTCAGGAATCCAGACATTCCCCAACACAGTGTTCTGCCTCGGGGGACACTAACTTCACTCCCAGTTTAAGGGAGTGATCCCTTTCCAAGCAATTCGGTTTCCTTATCAGCTTGTGCCCTGATTCTTGCAACTGAGAAGAGAAGGAAGGTTTCCCGTGGACTTCCAAGAAAAGTTTCCTTGCTCCTAAGAGTGAGTCCAAAGAAAAGATGGTCCTTAATTGTCCCTCTGAGTTTTCTCAAATCTGAATGGGAAGTGGGGGGCAGCTGCGCACTCTTCTCCTGATGATGGAGCTCGCACCAAGGATGGTGGAGTAGACACGTGGGAAGAACCTTTCCCCTTGATAAAGGCTGAGGTGATGAGTCAGCGTGCCCCGAAGGCCACCCTACCTCAGGACTTCCTGTTATACGGGATAGGTAGTTCCTGAAATTCCTTATTGTTCAATCAAGATTGAGTTTGAGTGTCTCTTACTTGTGGTCAATATGTCATAATAAGAAAGAAGGGATACGGGTGCCTGGGTGGCTCAGTCATTAAGCATCTGCCTTCGACTTAGGTCATGATCCCAGGGTCCTGAGAGCAAGCTCTGCATCGGGCTCCCTGCTCGGCAGGAAGCCTGCTTCTCCCTCTCCCACTCCCCCTGCTTGTGTTCCCTCTCTCCCCGTGTCTCTCTCTGTCAAATAAATAAATAAAATCTTAAAAAAAAAAAAAAAGAAAGAAGGGATAGACCCTGTCTCTTATTGATGTTGGAGGCTATGTTAAGGATTGTTTTTTTTCTCTGCCTTTATCTCAAGATCAATTGGAAGTCATTAGAGAATTTTAAGCAGAGTGCACGATCCATATTTTCATTTTGCAAAAGGTTACTTTTGCTGCTGCATTGGGAAATTCTAAAGAGACAAGAGTGGATGCAAGGAGACCAGCTAGCAGGGCTTTCCCTTGGGTAGAGAATGTGAAGAATCTTTTTGAGCCCAGCACAGGGTGGAGAGCTGCAGAATGAACATCATTTAATCAACATCACTAAAATTCATTTTTGATGTTGCTGTTTTTAACAATATCTCAGGGGGCCAATAAAAGATGCCCATGCAGAATGGCCTCCTTTCAAGAGCCAATATTTTTGATGAACTCTGCACTGGCTTGTGTTGCCATGGGTCTCACCTTCTTTAAGGGATAACCCTAGAGGGGACATGTGTAAGATGGTAGCCTGGATAGAAGACAGTGACAGTGGAGACGGAGGTGGGGAAGAGTGGGCAGAAATATTTTAGAAATAATGTTTTGGTGAAAGAATGAATAGAACAAATAAAGGAGAGAGAGAAAGAGAGAGAGGTTGAGGATGACCCTCAGGTTTCTGTGCAGAAAGAGGAAATGGCAGTGCCATTAGATGATATAGAAAATTCTGGAAGAGGCCCCAGTTGGGGGCAGAGGTCCATTCAGAGTTAAGTTTGGACATGCTAAATTGGATGTACTTTTGTATATTCAAGGGGAGGTTTCAAGAAAGCGGGGGTATGGTGCTCAGAGGATAGATGGGGCTGGAGTTGTTAATATTTTCATCATGCACATTTTAGAAATTAGTAAAAGCTGTGGACAATGGAATGGCTTTGGGAGAGAAGAGACCTAGAAGAGAAGAGGCTTAGGGCCAGGCCTAGAGGACAAGGGCAGAGGAAGACGAGGCATGCAAAGACCATGGATAGACTTTTGTCAGAGAGGCAGAAAGAGAATAGAAATGTGATGTGTTATGGGAACACAGGGATAAAGTATTTCAAAAAACAGATAGTTCACAAAGGCTCTGATAATTGTTGAAAAGTCAAAGAAGAAGTATGACAGCTAGTCTCCAAAGATGGCCCCCCAATGAATGATGCCTCCTGAAATTCATAGCTTTGTGTAGTATCCTTCACATTGAATGAGGGTTGGCCCTGTTCAACCAATAAACTGCACAGAAGGGACACTAAGTGACTTTTGAGGTTAGGTCATGTGAATCCGTGCAGTGTCCACCTTGGTCTCTTGAAATGCTTGTTCAGAGGGAGGCCGGCCACCATGTAAGAAGTCTTTTTACCCTTAGACCATCATGTTGTGAAGAAGCCCAAACTAACTGTGAAAATGCCTCATGGAAGGAGACAGGGAGAGAAAGAAAGACTAAGAAGAGAGAGAGATACCTGGCCAGACCCCAGTTAATCTAGCTATTCCAGCCTGGGTGTCAGCCATGTGAGGAAAGAAGCCATCTTGAACGTCAGGATGATTCCAGCCCTTTGTGAGACCCCAAGTGAGAACTGCCCAGCTGTTCTCAGTCAATCCACAGGACTTAATAAAATAAATTCTTATTTTAAGCTCCTAAATTTTATACTGAAAAAAGTAGGAATTGAAAAAAAAAAGTCTTTGATTTGGTGATATAGAGGTCATTACTGTTTCTAGGAGTAATGGGGCAGAAGCCAGATCTGAGTTAAAGAGTGGGTAGAAGCTAAAAAACAATTAAGCAAGTGAAGACAGCTGCTTTTGGGAAATGTTTGACTATGGATGGGGAGGAGATAGAAAAGCTGATAATTGGAAGAGGATTTGACATGAAGGAGAGTTTTTCTAAAAGTGGTCTTTACTACATCAGGGTTAAAAAGTATGACCTATGAAGTACTCTTACTAAAAATAAGACTGAACCCAAATCTAATGAAATCTCTTGATGTAATTACCAGTTTACCAAAAATGTGAGGAATAGAGACACAAGTCGTCAACGCCATAAGGATATGATCAGCCAAATCAAGAAATTTGGGATAATCTTTGGAACAAGTGACCCAAGAAATTAATCTTAAAAAAAATAAAGGCAAGGAGACTACTACAGGATAAAAACAACTTGAAACATAACAGTAAGATGCGATATGGGAATCTTGACTAAATTCTGATTTTGAACAACCCAACTTATAACCTTGAGACAGATGGAAAAATGGAATATGGACTGGATATTAGATGATATTAAGGAATCACTAATAATGGATGGATATTATGGTTTTTGAAGTACCCTTTTCATCTGGAGTTGCATCTTATGATCACTTGATACCTGGGATTGGCTTTAAAATACATCCATAAACTGGTGACAATTGCTGAGGCTGGGTGATGAGTAAGTGATGGTTCCTTATACTAGTTTCTCTGCTTTTGAATATATTTGAAAATTTCTATAATCACAAGTGTTAAAAACTGTACTGAAACATTTTTCATTCTATTAAGGATTTATGGACAACATTCAAGTGTGGTATCTGAGTATAGGATATGTCCTTATCAATGCAATTATTCTCCAAGTGGGATATTGGAGAGAACCCCCATGCTACTTTGTTGCTCTAGGGATGGCCTACAATGGGAAAAGAAAGCCAAAGGGAAGGGTTCAGTAAAGAGAAGGTGACTAAAAACACAGGAGAGAGGAGGTATATGAAAGTGTATGGTTCTGAGAAGGAAGGCAAGGTGGGATCCAGAGTCAAGGTAAAGGATAAGGCCAGTAGAGACCAGTGTGTGTGTTGGTATCTAGAGGAGGGGAGAATTCTCATTTGGTAGCCTCTAAATCCTTGGAGAATTAGGGAGTGAGGTCCAATGCTACAAGGCTGTGGGATTGGTAATTAGGAAATTGTAATTTGCAGAGAGTAGAAGAGATTTGACAACAACATTGAGGTGGGTGAGGAGCGAGTTTCCTGGGGAAACAGAGTAGAATTGCAGGGCACCGTAGAATTGCAAGGATGCTTAGAATGAAACGATGATCCAGATACCCTGAGTTGGAGAAGGACGACAGTGGAAGAGAACTGCCAATATCCTGGGAGAGAAAAGAAGCCTTGTTAATCTGACTGCACACAAATGGTGTTGAAGCATGAACCCACCTTCAGAGATTTGGGCTCAGGAAGCACAGGATAGAGACCATGCATTAATGCAAATGTAGGTAGTGCTTGGACCAGAGAAATGCCGCCCTAGTGGCTGGAAAGGGAACCAGCTTGGGGCAGGAGGTGTGTCATGTGCAATGGGGCAGCCTGGTGGACAGACAGCAGAACTTGCATCTGCTGGTTGTTTCAGGTAGCTCTGTAGCTTTATTGGCCTGAGGGATTATAATTTGTCCAGTGGGCTGCCCTTCCCAGAGTTCTCGGAGGGGCTCAAACACAGAGATGGGCACCCTTCAAAGTCACCTTGTCTGCGTTTGCCCCAGGGGCTTCTCATCCTTGGACCCTACAACTACTGGGGGTCTTGTTTGTTGTTTGTTTTTGCAACTTTTGATTCTAGAAATAAAAATGGGCTTTCAGCATCAACCAACCAACCCACCAACCAACCCACACTGTCAAAGTTGGCACATTTGGGCTGTCTTCCTTCTCATTTAGGCTTATTTCCCACTGAGTGTGAGGTAGCATTTTCAAGTAAATCTTTGGTAATTCCCAGGCATAAAGCAATTGCCTTCATTTCCCAGCGGGACATACTAAAGTGGGTTCATTTGTGGGAGGAACAGGACTGGCAGTTTTTACAGCTTAAGGCCTATAAGAAAACCACTTTCCACCACCCCCCCCCGACAATCATAATCCACTCATGCTTTAAAAACGCATTTCAAAAATCAAAAGAACACTGAAAGTCTGGAATGTGCTAGGAGGATGGATTAGGACACATCTGATTAGCCAATTTATTTATAATCTAGATAAACTTACCTCTCGTTTCTCTTCTTCCCTAACTTCCTTAACTACAGACCCTGTGAGTCGCCTGGATGTCAAAGAATTAAGCCTGTCTTGAATGAACAGAAGTAGCAGGAGTGCAGAGAGAATTGCTTTCTCTTTTCCTGGTCTCCACCGTGATTCTCTGATTTGAATTTGCAGTGGCAGAGAAAAAGGAGAGGTGAGGCAGGTGCTCGGGGGAGGGGAGGACAGCCTGAGTAAAGACTAGAGGCCAGCAGGTCATGGGGCCACTGTCTGGACAGCCTGGCTGAAGCAGAGCAGAAACAAGGCTGCTTGGTGTGGGGGAGCTGGATTAGAGAGGCTGAGCCGAGGGGCTTTGAGTGGTGCCTGGGGAAATCCGGAGCCATTTAAATGAGCCATTTAAATCTGACAGACAAATTGGCGTTTTAAGAAGATTTACCAGGCAGTGATGTGCAGGATGAGGTATAGTAGGTGGGGGCGGGGGGGGGGTAGGAGAGGTGGGAGGAGAATGAACCTAGGAGAATTAAGGATTCTGCTTTGAGTTAGCAAACACTTACTGAGCACCGGCTGTGTACTTTACCTGGTGCCAGGCACCACGGTCAAGCATGCTCTCTCAGTGACTAGAACCAACATCTGCCCTTTTGTCCAAACCAGAAACTAGCATCCTTCTGGATTCCTTCCTCTGCTTTCCACACTTAGCCGTCCGGCTGTCCTGTCAATTCCATGCCTCCTTCATGCCTGTTCTCCCTCCTCCCCACTCCCTCTCTTCTCCTGCCGCAGCTGAGCGCCTCCCCTGGCCTACGAGTCTCCCTGCCTCCAGTCTCGCCTCTAACTCCTCCACCTGGTAGCTGTTGGCGATGGGGTTAGCCTTCCTAAAACACGACTAATCAGGCCGCCTCCCCCAACAGAAACCCTTCCGTGGGCTCCCCAGTGCCTTCAAGGCTAAGTCCAAACTGTGCAGCAGAACCAGGAGGCCCTTGCTAGCTGGGTCGTTTGGCTCCTTCCTTCCCGGGGCTCTTGCCTCCTCACCTTGAATCTCAGGATGTGACCGTGTTTGCAAAGATGCTTCCAGTGCCTCTGGTCTTCCTTGCGGTGATAATAGCCTCCATTCTACCCCTCCTCTCTGACTTATTCTTCAAGAATTCATTTAGAGACTCCTTCCTTCTAGAAGCTCTTTCTGTCCCACAGGTGCCTCCTGGGTGCTTTTAAAGAACTGTCTCTGGCTATCCTAGGGCTTATCACAGCATGCTGTCCCTGGCCTTCTCTTCTCTGCATGTGAGCTTCAAGAGGGCCGGGGCAGCCTCTTCCTCCTTGCCCAGCACCATCCTGACCTGTAAAGGGTACTTAGTAAATAGTCATCAAAGGGAAATAGATGAATTTATAAGAACCTAGGTGGCAGGAGGCAGAGGGAGTTGGTCCCATTTTACAGATTAAGAAGTTGAGGCTCAGAGAGTGATTTAATAACTTGTCGAAGGCTTCTCGGCTTAGCCTAGAATCCACGTCAGGGTTGCCGAGTTCTTATCCAGGGCTTTTTCCTCTTGCAGTCACAGAATGGAGATCATCAAAGAAAAGCATCCTATCTAGTGCCTTTGATTCTGGCTGATCATTCAGAAAGCCTCCCGGGGGGCTACTGGGGGAGTGAGTATGACAACAGATGAAGAGGCTTTGATATATTAGTAAGGGATTTCATAAGCTGGAGTATTATTAGCTTTGGAGATTGCAAAAGGCTAGAAGTCCAAATGAACAATTTTCCAACATAATTTGAGCGTTTATTTCACCGAAGTTATTGTTCACAACACAAATCCTCCCTGTTTCTGAAATCCGAATACGGTTACGGTTGCATGTGTTCATTGCTGTTTTTATTTTATTTTTTCCCCTCACTCTAATAAATGCTCTTTGCCTACCGTTTTGTTTTTGTTTCTTTTTTTTTTTTTTTTGATTGACTGGAAGAACCACCGTGCAGAATGGTAGATATTGGTCATTTAACTGTAGCATTTACTTTCCCCCTAAACTAGAGCTCTGTTCATGATTGATCAGACTTCTCCCCCATTTAGCACCCATGTAAAACACTGCGAAAGATTGGGTCTGCAGCTCGGATAACATTTTTGCAGCAATTTGTTCAAGCCGCCGCCGGCACGCTGGGGGCCACGGAAGCTCTTAATGAAATGGCGGTGGATATTAGGGGTTTATGGCCTGGAAACCAGTACAAATCAAAGCGCGATGCTTACTGTTTATCTGTTTAGAACATTTTTATTTTCTAAACCTAGTAATGTTCATCTTTTTCTTCCAGCGTTTTGGTTCGGTTCTTTACATATTGATTTTCCCGTTCACTGGCACACTCTGGTGGAGTTGGAACACTCAGGTGTGCTCTCAGGACGAGTGCCGGCCAGGGGGCCAGCACAGGAGGCAGCCTCTGTCCGAGACCCCTCAACTCAAGGGCTGGGAGAGAACAGGGCTCACCGATAAAAAAAAAAAATCGCTACACCTCTCTCTCCCCTATGGGGTCTCTCCTTGCACCAGCAGGATTGACCTTTTATATTAATATTTGTTTAAGAATCTCACCGCAAAAGTAGCACTCTCTTCTTAAATTTTATTAAAAAATCTAATAGACAAGGTCCCAGCAGGAAACAAAATCCATCACGGATGGTTTGCCCAGGGGTCGGTCATTTTTTTCTGTGAAGGACCAGATATTAATATTTTGGCTTTGCGGGTCGCCTGGTCTTTGCCTCAGCAGGCCACACAGAGCACCTAAGTGTTGGGTGACTGCTGTGGCTGAGTTCCATTCAGTAAGACTGTCTTTACACAAAGAGACAGGGACGGGGGGGTATTTGGCTTGTGGGCCAAAGTTTGCTAACCCTTGGTTTAAATGAAAAGACTTTAAGGGACCATGTGCAGGTCCTTATATGGACAGGATCCTATATGGACAGGATCAAAGGAACAAACAAGGGGCACTGAGGTACCCAGAGACACAGCAGTGAGAGGCTGGGTGGGCAAAAGGACGATGTGCCATGCCTGGCGTCCTGGTGAGAATGGGGCCCTGGGAGGCACTAGGGCAGAGAGGGAGCAGGGAAGAAATACCCCCTCACATCACCTGCCTGTGCCTTTCGTTGTCTGATCCAATCAGGGCCCAGCCGGCAAGGGGCCTGGCGATGAAGTCCCTACAGGGCAGCATCTGAGAGGAGAGAACAGAGCAGGAAGGAGGCAGGCAGAGGCAGAGGGGGAATGAGCCGCATAGGGATGGCCCTTTGGGCACTACCTTCTTAGAACCCAGTCCTTTTGGGAGTAAAAGTAAGCTTGGCTGGCCACATCCTTGACCCTGACCATATTCTAGAGAACTAAGGCTCCCCCCAACCCAGCTCCAGGTTGGGCATGCCGCTGGATACAGTGAGAGGTTCAGGGATAGGCACATGATCTAACTCAGGCTAATGAGACCCAGGCACAGAACTTTTGTTTGTCTGAACTATTGAGAAAGATAAGCTTTCTTTTTTTCTGGTGGATCCAAGGCTAGAACTTTGGCAGCCAACTGACGATGTGGTGAGGCCGTCACAGGGGAGAGCCTGTGCCCAGTTATCACGGGGGAAAGCAGAGTGGCAGGGTGGGTGGGGAGAAAGCTGAGTCCTGTTACAGTCACTGAGCCCCTGGATCAAGCTCTTCCTGACACAAAACTCCGTTCTCAGTCGGGCAAGCCGATTCACTCCCCTCTCACCGAGACCCGTTTTCTATTTCTAGCAACTGAAAGAATCCTGGCGAAGAGAGAAAGATTTATCTCTGGAACCAAGGCCTGCCTCCCCACAGCTGTGTGGACTTCACATGAGACACATCTAATCACCAAAGCATGCAAGAGACAATGATTCTCCTGTGTGCATGAATGTTTTCATGTGTGCATGCAGGGGCATTCCAGTAATGGCGTTTGTTGCTCGCATGTACATTTCTCAGACACAAAAATCTTTTCTTTTTTGAATATCCGCATGGCATGGGCCTCGTATGTCACACAGACAGCAACTTCCTAGGTAATTACATAGGTATAGTGATAACCATAGCAACCCAGCAGTTCTGAGATGTCATGCAGATCACTGAGGCTCGGGGACACTGCTGTTCATATACAACCGGCCCGGCTTCGTGTTTTGCAATGACTTTTCCCTTTGCTTGAACAGAGGGCTTCTTACCATGCAGCACCTCCCATTGGTCAGGGATTTCCAAGGTTATGAATTTTACAGGCCAGAAAGATGTCCCAAACAGAGAGCCGACAAAGTTGCCAACTTAATTTTGCTAGGTTAAGAACATGTCACAAAAGAGATAAAACAAACAAGTGTCATCTACTATTACCATCATTTCATAAATGAAAGGACATTTTCACATGTCTGAAAGGAGAGGATAAAGAGGAGTTCTTGAACAGAGCACATTTAGCCTTAAGAAAAATACACGGCCCTGTTGGTGGGAATGCAAACTCGTGCAGCCACCGTGGAAAACAATATGAAGATTCCTTTAAAAATTAGAAATAGAAATAGCATATGATCCAACAATTCCATGGGGGTATTTACCCAAAGAAAACAAAAACACTAATTCGAAAGGATAGATGCACTCCTGTCTATACCGCAGCATTATTTACAACAGCCAAGATCGGGAAGCAGCCCAAGTGTCCATCCATAGAGGAATGGATGAGGAAGATGTGGTATAGAACAATGGAATAATACACAGCCATAAAAAAAGATGAGGTCTTTCCGTTTGCAACAACATGGATGGACCTAGAGTACATTTATGCTAAGTGAAATAAGTCAGACTGAGAAAGACAAATACCATATGATCTCACTCATAGGTGGAATCTCAAAAACAAAACAAATGAATAAACAAAAAAACAAAGCAAAATCAGACCTATAAATACAGAGAACAAACTGGGGGATTCCAGAGGGAAGGGGGCTGGGGGATGGGCAAAATGGGTGAAGGGGAGTGGGAGACACAGGCTTCGAGTTGTGGAATGAGCAAGTCACAGGAATAAAAGGTGCAGCAGAGGGGACAGAGCCAATGGTACTGTAATAGTGCTGTGTGGGGAGGACCGCGCCACGTACAGAGAAATTGAATCGCTATGTTGTGCACCCAGAACTAAAGTGACATCCTGTGTCAACTGTATTCAAATAAAAAAAAAATTTTTTTTTAAAGCCCATGACTAGGGGGATGCTGCATCTGGTAGGACACTTATGCCCAGCCAGGCCCCCTGGATGAAGGGTACGCAGGGCCTCAATCCAGTCCTCACTCGGCCAAACCATGGGCCCAGCATGTGCTGGGCTGTGTCCACTTGGATGAGGGGATACTTTTTTCTTTACACAAAGAGGCCTCCTGCTTGCTACGTTGTGTGCCGACAGGGCCAGTTCTGCCCAGAAAGGGCAACTTTTTCTAATCTACACAAAACACCTTTGGAGGTGGCAGTGGCCCTGCGCCATATTGTTCTACTTGAAAGCATTTCACTGGGAGAGACGCCTGGGTGGCTCAGTCAGTTAAGTGTCTGCCTTGAGCTCAGGTCATGATCTCAGGGTCCCGGGACTAAGCCCCGCATCGGGCTCCCTGCTCAACGGGGAGTCTGCTTCTCCCTCTCCCTGCCGCTCCCCCTGCTTGTGCTGTCAAACAAATAAAATCTTAAAAAACAAATCAATAAAACATTTCACTGGGAGCTGTGCTCTGACCAGTGCTCAGCACCTAGGAGGCACTCAACAAACATGTTCAGCAAACATGGAAGGGCCACGGGGCACTCCAACAAGGGCCATTCTCGGTCTGCTGGTTGACTTGGCGGCCCCCCTTCGGGAATCACACACAGTGCAGGCCATTTTCTCCTGCCCCTGGTGTCCAACTTGACGGGGGCGGAGAGGAGGATGAGCGAAGCCCCTCCTGCCTCTCAGTCCTTTGAGAGGACCAGAAGGAAACCTGCCCTGTTGAGGCACCTGCTCTATGGCAGGTAAGGCACGACGTCCTCCGTATGTCACCTCACGTCGCGCGTTTTACAGCTCAGGTAACTGAGCCTTGGGGATTACCTCACCTGCTGCACGTCACCCTGAGGCAAAGCGAGATTCTGACTGCAGAGTCCGTATCACTAGGGTTTGTGTAGAGCTACGCGAGGGCCCTACCCTCAAGAAGCGCTACACAGATGTGCCCCGCCGGGCGCTTGCAGCCGGTTTCCCCATCTCCCTTAGCACCTCCGTCGTCCCCCTCCCCATCCCAGCCCGTGTCTGGCGGACATGCACACAGACTCCTAGAGGCTACATTAGTTTCCTAGGGCTGCCATCACAAACTGCCATAAACCTCTTGGCCTAAAATAACAGAAAAGTACTCTCTCTCCATTCTGGAGGCCAGAAGTCCAACAACAGTTGCGGTGGACGGAGATCAGGTGCCGGCAGGGCTCTGTGCCCTCCAGAAACTCTAGGGGAAGATTTGCTCCCTCTGTCTCCCAGCTCCTGGATCTCCCTTCTTTGGCTCAGGGCCCCTCCTTAATCTTCAAAGCCAGCAGGAGGGCGGATTCAGATCTGTCTCTCTGCTTCTACCATCACTTCACCAGCTGCCTTCTGTGTGTGGGCATCAACTCCTGCCTCTCTCTTGTCACGATGCTTGTGATGGCATTCAAGGCCCGCCCAGCTAATCCAGGATAATCTTCTCATGACGAAATTCTTAATTGAATCACACCTGCAAAACTTTTACCATAGAAGGCAACATTCCCAAGTTCCAGGGATATCGGCCATTTTTCAGCCTCCTACTTGCGCCAGGTCCCATAACAAGTGTGGGGCTCAAACCCAGGCAGACTCTCTCCAGAGCACGCCTGCCCACCCAGCTATCCTGCCAAAATGCCAACAGGCCAAACCAGCGGTGCCATTAGGGAAGGCAATGACTTGAGAACAAGACA